GCCAATATAACATGTTTCATATGACATAGCAACAAGATTGAATATTTTACAATTTTGGTATATTTTGGTTTTAACCATCCTCAGTATTCATAAACAGTCTTATAGCATTTTTACATTATTTACAACTACAATTGCACCAAGTGCAATATGGTATAATACTATTTAATTCGTGGCTGGTTTCGTTTGATTTGCATTGCGCGGTTAAATTACTAGTTACCACATCCACAGTAATTTCATTGATTAGTGATAGTATTAAAAAACCAGGCAGCATTGACATAGCCTTCTTTAGGTATATTTCTTTTTGCTTCTCTGTCCTGTTCTTTGTAATGTATTTTTCCTTTCAATACATTTTTCGTTAAATGCATCATCGGTATCTTTTGTATATTTAAACAACTTGACTTTGCTTAAGTCTCTACACCTTGTGATACTCGTCCACATCCACTCCCTATATTCTGTATTTAGTGGGTGTGTATAATCAAAAAATTGTTATTGTGTCATCAATGCTACTACCTTGTGCGGAATGACACGTAGAGCAGTAAGCAAATATAAAACTGCTTCGTATTCTAGCAACGTCTAAACATTGTAAAATTTCAGCTCTTACACTCTTCAGTGTAAGAATTCCATCATTACCAGTATGAACAATTTTATAATTGAAATGTACATTAAACACTGATGTTTTAGTTTTAGTGCGTTCCCTACATAATAAAAGCTGTCCTACTTCGTATTCATCTTTTCTATTTTCTAGCTTTCTAATTTCACTTGATACATTCTTACACGTATTATTTAGACAGAAAGCAGTGTCCCCAGCGCTGGGTTTTTGCACATTCCTGCTGTATGATGGTTTCAGGGCTGGGACACTGCACAGACCGCAAGCAGCCAACACATTGATGCATTGTGACCCCTGTCACTTGAGCAGAGAACCTTCTTATTGTCCACTAGCTACAAAACTCAAAAAACCTCGGGAACCGAGAATTGAAGAGGGCAATCCATTTCAACCTGGATGGATCATGAGGCATTGTGTGCAATCACCCATGCGCGAAACTTCCTTGGCACCATATCAGGCATATTCCTGATGACAATGCTTCCATCCTTTGGAAAATCCAGATTCGAGATAGCGTTCGTGTATCCGAAGTTTGATGGATCGTTTCAAGAACGGGAAGCAAGGAACGCTATTGTCCCTAGAGACTGATGGATTGAAAACCTCACATCCAAAGCAGCATTCTGTGCACTCAGGCCTGATGGCAAGTCATTCTACCACGACGACAGCATGGAGCTGTATGTGAGATGCATCAGTGGTCACTCACAATACGTTGAGCTGGAAACCATTGGGAGACCCTTGTGGAAGAACACCTGGGAAGAGCCATCATACGATTTGCCGAATGCATCCAAGCCTCGTGATCAGGACCATGAAGACGGCAGCGCCGAAATCCATCGAGCAGGACAGGAAGATCGTTCCGTTCAGGAAGAAGGCCGTCACCTTCATGTTCCATGCCACCTATGGAACTCAGATCGAGAAAATCATGCAGCAAGGAATCAAGCCAGGACGAACTAGCACCCCTCGGGGAAGACAACACGTCCACATGGCATGCATCGACGGCTACGATGATCAGGAATCAGACGCAGCGCTGGCCCATGTCCCTAAGGGACGCGATGCATTGTTGATCCTTGCATTCACACAAGACAACCAGTACAACATCCGAATCACGGAAGAAAGAATTGCCCTGTCAGAATACACCATCGATCCATGCAGCATCATCGCAGCATTCGATACCGATGGACAGCCTCTTATGCACAGCCACTGGATCATGAAGAAGAATCTCGACCACGATGACCGAGAACAGTGTGAACCCAAGATCCAGGAGTTTGCTGAGCACTTCTTCAAGCACATTGACAAGGGCATCTCCCACGACAAGCACAACTAAATATCAACCCGAACAAGAGCAATCCAGCGAGACCAAGAAAAGACGGCATTCGACAGACCATGATGAGGAAAGCATGAGCAAAAGAGAAGATCGATCCGTCAAAGTCAAGGTCAAGGTCACCGTGGAACCTCCCAATCCGGCCAATGTGGCTGAATTCAATCAGGAATTTCAGGACATTTATTTGGACCGGGAAATGTCCAAGGCTGATGCTGCAAAAGAGCTCGGCGAGATTCAGCAGTCATTCATGGAGTTCATGGAGAGGTACCATGGATCCAAAGAAGACACACCCGGACCTGACCGATTGCGAATTGAGATCTTTGGCACACGTGAATCCAGATGAGAACCTCGATGAAGATGAGTTCTACTTCGAGCACGCAGGTGAACATCCGACCATGGAAGAGTTCAGAGCAGCGCAGAACCCTTCGGGGTATCCACTGCGGACTCAAGAAGTTGAGGAACTACCACGATCCCGAGCTCATCAAGTCATTCACGACCATTCTGGGATCCCTGATGCAAGGAACTGATGGCCAAGTTGTCGACTACCTCAAGAGAAAAGACTATCCATCCAGCATTTCACGCAACATCCTGACTGTGAATCACGGGAACCTCACAAGGAGTCCAAGGATAGTCGAGAACTCAACTCATGGCCAATCAAGCACCGACCGCTCATCATGCAGACGATGCAGAACAGTGCACATCTCCTCTGCATCAACGAGGCAGACGCGTTCCTCTACCCAGAAGAAGACAAGACCTCTGATCTCATCAAGCTGTTCATAAATGCGGACACAAGGGCATCGTCATCAAACTTTGGGCATCCAAGTCCATCGCATGCTTTGTCCGAGGTGGGAAACACGCCCGAGTCGAACTGTTGGCGCGTTACATTTCAAAGAAGAGCCAATTCTGGAGTACAACATTCGGAAGGTTCAGATGCTTCTTCGGGCTCGAAGACGATTGCAATGATCCGGACTATGATACTCCAACACCCGACTGTTTGGCATCCACCGGAACCTCCATGTTCCTCAACCAAACCAGGAGAAGTATATTGGACAGAGTGCCACCACGCACCACCGTACAATGGCATGGCAAGAACAGCGAGATTGTCGTCATCCACATTGAGCAGAACAATGAGATCTGTGGAACATTCCCAAAATCCACTCAGAACCCTGTTCTCTCCTACAACTCCCGCCATGTCACAAGAGCTGACCTGCCATTTGCCACTATTGGAGTTTTCCATATTCATCCGGACGTCAGCCATGGTGCAGCAAAAGAAGACGTACAGAAAGGCATCACGCCGCTCGTCACGGAGTACCACTGCGATGCGATCACAGGCGACGCCAACAAGTCTGCAAACACGTTCAGTAAGCTACAATCCGTTTACAATCCTGAGCACGGCCTCATGAACTACACTTGAGGAGCGGGTGAACGAAAGCTAGCAGTTGTTGCATGAGATGGGTCGGTGACAGAGTGGATTCATAGGTAGCTTGTGTACAACGAGAGGCCCGGCAAGATTCGTAGGATGCGACATGCAAACGCACATGGTGGCGTGGCAAACCTTGAAAACTGAAAACAACGAGAGGCGTCAGAAGCTGTCTTAAAGCACCTCTGGGTTCTGCATGCAGCGTGTGCAAAGATTCTTGCGAGGTGGTTTACCGAGAAGACTGAGGTCTCAAATGAACAAGCTGAATCGGTGGAACATGTAAAAGTTCGTAGCACCAAGTCCAAAACGGGCAAACCGAGACTGCTGAACACTGAGCCACTGCCCGGGGGGGGGGGATGGACCAGGGAGGAATCGAGCCTGAGACCGGGGGGGGGGGGTCTAAATAATTGATGTTTTTCAATCTTTTCGGCTCAAATAATTGAAAAAATCAATCTTTCGGCATTTGAGCCCCTTACCTTGCTTACGCAAGGAGAAACTTCAGCTAGCTAAAGCTAGCTTTCGTGATTTTGGGAAAGTTCAAGAACCTTTGGAATGAAACATAAGACATGCCGTTGGCGGAGCGAATGGATTTCACCATGTCGACCTCTTGCGCAATTACACCCATTGCTCGTCACCATCTTTACACGAAGGAAGGTTCAGGATTTGACAGAACGTTTCCGGATTGCAGGGTGACCTTCGTGTTCAGTTGGGGAAAGACTAACATCCAACAAAAATTCCGTCAATTCGAGATTGCCAATCTCGACCAAGACACGATGGATTCCATGATCGAAGATGTTGACAAGGTCATCTCCGACTACAAGGTCACTTCCGCCGAGCGCTACAAGCACATCAGCAATGAGACGCTAATGCTTGGACCATGCGACTCCGACTCTCATACCCCATTGCTGGTCTACATTCGCATCCTTGCAGCTGATCAAGCAAAAAAATCCACCGCAAGAAGGAGTACAATCAGAACAAGAAGAAGGAGAATGAGACAGCATGGAAGCCATGGAGCCAATCCTACCAGCAAGGATGGAAGAGCTCGGGCTACCAAGGATGGGAGGATTATGGCGGAGGATATGCAAGCCAATCCGATAGCAGCTACCGTTGGTACTCGCAGAAGCGATGAGATACTATGACAACAATCCACGCTGAGAACCATCACACGGAAAACGACACCACGAATTCCAATCGATTGATCCTCCTGCACATCAAGACTATGCTCGTGAGTGATCAATAGTTTCACACAATCCCGCGTGTACAAAGTGTTTCTCACATTTCCGTTTTAGATACAGTTAGGTATCTCGTCCAATCAGTACAAAGCATTTCCCATTCTGCTAACAAGACATTTCATCCGCGACAGAAATAGGATGATTTTTCGACATGGCTACGCCAAGCATACCATAAGTATGGCCACGGCTAAAGGCCATGAAGCCAAGAATGCCATTTTGGTGTTCAGGGTCAAAAGAAATTGTGTCTGTTTTTGTGTTGCTTTTGCTTCGCAATTGACACATTGCTATTTGGCTCAAGACCCTATCTTGTAGTACAGTTGTCATCCTGCAGCCATTACAAAAGGACCTAGCAGAGCGCCTTGCGGATATAAACCACACATTCCTCCACTATTGGCATATTGGACTCTCTTGCAGAATAGATCCGGGGACCTACCAATACATTCTCCACTACCACAAGGTACCTACTCCCTTCGGGGATACGGTACCCCTGGCAGTGGGTCTCACGGTCTCACCCCCCGCCAAAAAAAGGAAAAAAGAAAAAAGGAAGCAAAAACAAAACAAAACAACACAACAACAAGCAAACCCAGCTCTAGAGAAGGCCCTACTCTCCTTCAGCTGCTTCGCAGTGTCCAGGAGCTCCACTTGGAGCTTCGCCTTCTCCTCCACGTGAGTAGCGATTTGCGCACCCCCGGAGTTCTGGGCAAAACCTCTTAAAAACTAACTCTGGAGAAATTTAACCAATCTACAGCCCTTTTTAGGCCTGGAAGCATTTGGGGCCTTGGGCTGGCTAATCCCAAACTGTTGGGTTTTACAGGGTTCCCCAGACCCGAAACAAAGTGGTCATGAACATCGAAACAACACCCCTGTGGGTTGCTCGACGGGTTGATAAATCTGGGTCACTTTTCACCCAGCCAAGATTCGGGCTGAATCTCCATTGCGTTCCATCATTCTTTTGGAAAGGGCAAGCCTTCAAAATGGACAGACGGACAAGGAACCCATGCATCTCTATCACGCCAGGTGTTACAACCTTGGGACAAGCGAACGCATGGCTGGTTTCCGTCTGCTCCTTTTAAACACGGCCTCGTTGTTGTTTCGAATCCGCACCCAGGCCATGTTGAAACCACACACAGGGAAGTGACCTCTGTTTGTCACGGCAACATCTGCCTAGGGGAACAAAGGACCCTGAATCGGCAAGTGCCTTTTCCCAGGGAAATTTCGAAGACTTTACCCAGCTGAAACATGACATGAATTCTCGTTGGCCCCATCCTTCGAAAACCACGTGAGGTCGATGAACTTTTGCCCGGTGGGGTCCAGACCAAAGAGAATCTCCCAACTAAACTGTTCAAGTGTTCAAGGCCAAAGCACATACCTCCCAACTAAGCTTTCGATTGTTCAAGGCCAAAGCACATACTTTTAGGTCAAACCAACTTGTTCTTCTCTCAGCGCAAAGGTCTTGCAGCAAAGGTCTGGGCAAGTTACAATGAACATGAGGAACCCCTATGAACAAAACATCATGGGAGACGTCGGTGACTTGAGATTAAAACGTATCAATGATCTCGGGCCCAAAGGGAAACCACGCATCATCACAAGAGTCTTTTTTAGCCACCGGCCACCGGCCGCCGAGCCGGCTGACTGCCAGCTACCCCCCTTCAAGTTCTGACTTGCATGTCTGCGAGGGCCAGCTTACTAGCACAAATCTTGTGTCTGAGCTGAAGGCCAGCTTGCCGTCCACCCAGGAAGCTGTGCCCATGCCACTCTATTTGCACGGTGAGCTTGTGATGGGTGTCAGCGAGTCCCACGGTAAAAATTAACTTGCGCGGCAATTTCGCTTCACGGCAGCTAGTGGATGCTGAACTGTCTTGGAAAACTAACTTTTCGCGGCAACGGAAACGGCAACGGCAAAACAAAAACACGGAAACAAAAAAAACAGCAACGGCAACGGCAACGGCAATTTTGGAAGTAATTCCTGCGAAACTACTGCGCTGGAGCTAATTCCACAGTAGTTTGGCTGCGAAACTACTGCGCTGGAGATATTTTCGCAGTAGTTTGGAAGTAATTCCTGCGAAGCTACTGCACCTTGGCAAGCAGCCACGGCAACAGTGTGTCCACATTGTCGCTCCAGGCGAAGCCTGGCGCACGAGGCTCTGTTCAAGCCCATTCATTTGTGACCTGGCACCTGTCCCGAGCTTGTCCTCGTGCTTGGTGAAGGGCTACATGCTGGTGTGGCTTTGTCACCTTCTTCCAGCCGGTGGATTGCCCCAACGCCAAAAACTTTTTTCTGTCAGCTCCCAAACGGGGTAGCTCGCAGTTGGCTCCGCAAATGGCGTTACCGCCTCTACTTGCAGAGGGCAAGTTTTCAAGCAGAGGCCACCTTGCTGCGACTGCTGCAAGCTCATGTTCGGCTTCGCCTTCGGGAGCAGCTTCGCCAACTTTGGGCCTGTGAAATCTTGCGTCGCCGTGCCGTTAAGGCTGTGGTGAACAAGGACTTCCACAAGCAGGCCATGAGTGGTCCTTCGGAGCGCTCATAGCTGGAGCTTGGAAATGGTATGAGCCTCTGATGTTCTCAAGGCACGGACAGGGTTTCCTCTCAAGCTACCACTTTCAGCCCTGCAGATCACAGACAAGCCTGTGTCTGAAACTTTCGTGTTGGAACCTTTTTTTGTTTAGGGCGGTCGGACATGTGCCACGGGGGCAACTGCTGTTGTTGCTTGCGGGCTCCGCTTTGCAGCTGACACAACTCGCCAGCCTCTGTTGCACACATGCGCCGTCTTTCTTTTGCGCTTCTATGTAAGGAGTAATGGGAGAAGACAGGGCCACTTGTGCTGTGAAAGCCAGAGCCTGCACCCCCACTGGCCCCCCGGTCCCCGGCCCCCGGCCGGCCACCGGCCACCGGCCACCGGCCACCGGCCACGGAAAAGAAAGCTATACCCCCAATCACGGCGATCGAACGGTTCCCTTTTATATAATGCGCTTTTGACCCGACCCGAAATGGGTTCCTTCAAAAAATACGCAAAATCAATCAGACCTTCGATGTGTGTTCCACCCCCCAACTCAAGGTTTCCCAAACAGTGTGCATCTCTTGTTACATTTGAATCAACCCAAAAAGGCCCGTGAGCAAACAACATCTCCTCGCTGAGAGCGTCCCGCTGGCGCTTGAGGTGCTTCAAGCTCGCCGGCGTGAGGCCGCAGGGCTCCTTGCCGAAAAGCTGCGACATCCGAAATTTGGAAGCCAGTGGTTCGTTCCATGTCCTTGCTGGTTCTCAGCAGGGCATGAGTTGGAATGAAGAAAACCATCCTGCATGGCTTCCTTCAAGGGAATCCGTAGGTTCATGCCCAACACCCTGGGTCATTCCCGACTGAGCACCAGCAAGTTTACTTGTACCTGCGTTCACACAAACCCCTGACTGGAGGTTAAGGGGCACACGTTTAGAGCCAAAAAATCGAACGGATGTGTGGCACTTTCTCGCCAATATTTGGTCCCCAATGTCTTGGGTTGAGAAGGTTTCTGGAAGAAAAGAAATGCGCTTATGGCAGGGTTCGCAAAACTGGGGCAGCCCAGTCACTGGATGAAAAAAACATCCTTCAGCCACTGTGTCTTGCCGTTTCTGTGTGTGTGTGTTTTGTGGTTGTTTGGTTCCTGTGAAAAGCCAACCAGGAGGCTTTCCACCATTCAAGAAACACCATGTTTACCCAATCATTCCTTTTCACTGTGCGGGGTAGCTCCCTTTCAGGCTAAAAGGAAAGCGGTTGGATGCCTACCGTAGTGTCGAAACGCCGGGGATCCACTGGGCAGCATCTTGTTTTAAGTTATGCAGGGAACCATAAAAGGAATCTCTTCCACATACGAACCCAGGCGATTCTACTTGGGGTTCATATGTCTATACTATACATATATAGATATACACTATTCAAGCCTAAAATGCTTAACTGGAAAGTGCAAAATCAACATATCCGTTACAAGTAGGTCTTGGGGACGGGTAAATCGAAACTACTGGATGGAAGTGCAGGTGATTCGTTCGATTTGCAAAACATCTGGTGTGCAGAGAGGCTAACTTCAGATAAATCCGGAGGACCATACGGGTGCGTCTCATAGGACACGAACCCTCCAAAACGACCCGGCTTCCTTCACATATCCGTTGAAACTCCCCCCGAAACAGCATCCGCAATAAGACGCCAATACTAATCGGAGGAATCCCCCTGACTCGCTTGGATAACCGCAATGGGGCTTGCTACCCTGATTTGAATGGTCCTATGTCAATCCGAAACGGACTTCCGTCCAGTACGGCCGTACAGCCAACCCCTGGGACTTTTCCGAGCACGCGGAATTGTCAATTTGCGGGGCGTACTGCGAGACGCAGCATGGCGTGACAAACTGAAGTGTCACAATCTCACATAGTTCGAACCACCTTTTTGACCCTGGGTGACCCCACATATGTTGTAACAAATGGGTTGCTTTTGGATGCTGCACATTTGGCGCGCCCCCTTCATTAGAACCCGTGTGGGGTCCCCTGTCTGGCGGACCCTCCCTTCAAGTTTATCCATTGGCCTGACAACCCAATGTAGGCAAATAATGCCTACATTGGCCGACGTCGGCAATTTTCAAGCACATTGGTCCTATGAACCTCAATGTTCAATCCAACAAAGGTTCCGACAAACCTCCGACGGGCTTTCCGACTGTAATTTCCGACAACTCTGTCAACTTGTCCTTTTCCGACAGCGCTGTTCGAATGCAATTCTGGCGTTTGCCTCAAGAAATTACACTCTAAGGGTGGCAAATAGGAAGGCACGCCGGTTTTTGTGAATCGAAAACATGTCAATTCGTGCCACTGGCCACCAACCTCTGCTATCATTGTCAGATCATGCGGCGCACAAAGGTTAAGTCTGGTGTTTGCGGCTCATACTACTGAGGGATAAGCTCCGAAACTTGCTTCAAAGTTCAAGCCTTTCAGGCCGCAACATCAAGGTTACGTAGTCAACAATGAGGTTAAACATCATTCACAAGAGAACAAGTCCTCTGCATAATGTCTGCGCACATTCCAGCGCTTAGTTTAATGTAGCAAAATTTGGCCTAGCTGCCCTGACGGGGATGTCCTGGTAAACTACTCCAAATGTAGCAACTCAACAGGTTCACGTTCTGTCTTGCGTGGTCTATATGTGTGGAACACTTGACAACTTGTCTGCATACATGTGCGTTGACTTAGTTTGGACAGTGACATGCCGGTTGAGATATTTGCCGGTACTGAACTTGCAGTCGGGCAGTTGCTGAGTGATGTGTGCTCACTTGCTTGCAGGCCAAGGAATTTGCCACACGCACACACAAGCATAACCACAAGCGGCTGGACATGTCCAAGCCAAGGCGGTAAACACGTCCAGTTCGAACTGCGAAGCGTATTTTAGGTGTTGATGTTCGAAACGGCCACTTCCATTCCAGGATTCCAGGAGTGATCACCAACTCCTGAGGACGTCAAACACTGGCCAATTGACATCCCAAGGGTGCGCCAGGCGGTCTTAAAAGACCATGGCGGGCAACACCCTAAGCATGTTTAACGCTTTTTATCCCCAAACATAATTGCAATGCACCATCCGTTCTCCTGGGTTTATCAAGCGTTTGTCACCTTTATTGTGTTAAAGACATGTCTTCGGAACAATTGCAGCGCTTGTGTGATGGTGAACATGAAACTTCAATCATGCCTGAACGCTGTTGCCCGCCCCCAATTGTGATGCGTATTCCCTGATTTTTGCCCTCGTGGGTTTCGTGCAGAAACGCTCTTAGATACGGGCTGTTGGTAGGCCCCGAGTGATTCACATGGGCATTGTGCTAAAGCTATTGTACCCATTTTTTCCGACAACCGGCTTTTGTTGATAAGGGGGCGTCTATGTCTAGACCAGCTTGCCAGGTTACGCAAAAAATCAAGCAATATCACCAGCCTCGTCCGACAAGTCATCGCGCGCAATCACGGTTTTCCGTTAACGTGAGTAAAACTAGGAAGACACTCCGACAAGAAATCACGCAAAATCATGCGAAATCACGCTTCCGCTTTTAAAAGCTAAGAACACACCCCGATAAAACACCACGCGAAATTACAGTCATAAATTGTCGGGCAGGTGTGAAGAATATACTTAAGTCAGCCCCTTTCTAAGAGGATTGGGAGCTGTGGTTGGGAAGCCACATACCAAAAAAAGCAGAAATAGCATCTACCGGACCTTTGGAAAGCGGACGTTTGGATTTCAAGTCTGAGTAGGCAAGACTGAGGGACTCTGCGTGGCAAAGGAGGGTCTCCAGCATTTCAATCCAAACTCAAGGGCGCTGAGACATGAGTGCTAAGCTTGGTCACTCCGCAACCGATGTTTGCATAGCAACTAGTATTGGCAACCTAGTTTTTGGCAGAACATACAGAGTGCGCATGCGTGGGTGCATGAATCATATACCCCATAGTGGGTAAGACACTAAGTCTGCCTAATCGGAGAAGCTAGCCCTGTGGCCATTGACCTAAAACTGCAATGACAACACTGCTTTACGCTTTGAGCTGTCTACTATACTGAATGTGTGTATATATATATATAGATATACTCGTTTACTTGTTTGCACATATTTGCACATACACTGGCAAGATGAGTTAGGGTTCCTTTTTGGCATGCTGGGACGTTTCGCTGCATACGTTGAGCACACATCCAATAGTTACTGAGTGGCGGTTGGGACTCCTCATCTCAGTCATCAGGCGCAACCGGGCATATGTCCATACATACTCATAGGCTGCAGTGTTGTGGAATGAATTCTGTGGCAATTGTCGGATGGCTGTTATTTCCAATGCGGACTAAGGTTGGGAACTTCGTGCTTTTCGCGCAGCACATGTTGACTTTGTTAGGGCGTCATTTGCAATATGGCTCGGGATCATGGCACATTTACGTAGGCAATGGAACTTCAAGATGGCTTCGCGTTGCAAGTCCAGCCCCACCCCTTTTTCAGCAATAGCAGTGCGCTACTTTGAGCTGCGAGCCAGTGGTACAACACTTGCGTACTAATTACTTGAAGCGGCTGTCATAGACGAGTTCGCCACAGCTAAGTACTCAAATTGTCGAGTGCTATAGCAATATACTCATGGGCATAATATGATAACCACGTAATTCACTCGTTCATTTCTTTCTGTGGTGTAGCCTCGTCATCCGAGAAAAGGCGGATGGATATTTTTTAGGCAAGCTCTTAGTCATCGCTCCAGAAACATCCATGTCAACAATACGGCGTTTTGGCTAATACAGCAAGTCAGTAAGCAACCAACTTCGTCATGCTGGGGCTGCAATTTGACTGTCCGATACCGTCTCCACTAAACCTCATCATTTCTGAGGCAATATTTTGAAGAGAACCAACAAATTAAGCAAACATGGCAGCATCCTCGCTGGGCTCTTGGTACTTCTTGAGGATGTGCTTTGATGCATTTTGACTCCCTATTTCGTGCATCCCTGGGATGTACCAAGGCACCCTCATATGTGGAGCAGGCGAACAACAACGGACTTTGGATTTCGGAGGAAAAAAATCAATTTGAACCCCGATCGCTGGAAGTGCCTAATGATATGTCTGCTTTGCGCCTATAGTCTATGAATGTAAGGCGCTAACACAAGGGCTCACTAACACACAGGGCTGCCTTTGTTTTGTTGGGGGCGTAGCTTCTTTGGGCTAGCATCCCCAAAGTGGGCACCTTTTTTGCGGGGGAGGGCCCCTTTGCCTGGGTCCGCATGTGTTGTTTGCTGTTTAAGTTTATCTTAAATAGCCTTTTTCGGTACTTTGCACCCCTGCTTGGCCATAAACAGGGTCATCGACCCAGTAAACCTCACTAAATCGATTCATAAACCGGTTTCCAACCAAACAATCACACGCTCTCCAAGCTGGGTGAAGCTGAGCATTTGTTCGTTTTTAGCATGACGAGGCCACGTGACGGCCAACGCTCACTTTCCCTCACATGGCCAGTTTCGCTCCCCGTTGCGAAAAAACATGTTTACCGTGCCTAAAGAAGCTGTTTCTTGTTGTTTGGACTTGTGGGGGGCGGGGGGGGGGGGGGGCGGGCAAATCCCCCACCCCCCCACCCGCGCCCCCCCACCCCCCCACTCCCCCCCCCTCCCCGACTTGTCGCCTCCACCGCCACCGTGGGCAGCGGCTGCGTCTGCGACAGCTGCGGCTCCTCCTCGGAGGGCGCTGCGGTGAGCGCCGGGGCCTGGAGAAAGCGTACGTCAAGGTGCAGCCCTGAGCCTCACCGAGTAAACGCACTCACACATAAGCAAACAAACACACACACACACACACACACACACACACACACACACACACACACACACACACACACACACACACACACACACACACACACACACACAGACAAAAAGACACACACACACA